CTCAGGACGCGGGCAGCGCTCTCAGCCGCCTTGGCGGCGCCCGCAGGGCTAGTCTCCCAGGGGCCGGGCAGCTTAGGGGTGGACCAGGGAGAGCGAGCGCAGAGCGCGGCTCGCTGGTACCTGGACGCGGGCGAAGGCGAAGAAGCGAGTCCCTCTCTGAACTGGGAGCCCTGCGGACATTGTTCGTGCTCCATAGAGCTCGGTCAAATCTGCGTCCAAGCCGCAGACTTAATTACCGCGTCGGAGACACGCTTCCTCCCAGCCCCACCTTCTGTTTTTACTGTAAACAGTGGTGCTGATCCGCTCCCATTGTTGGAGATAAACTGTATCTCCTTTGACACTTTCGCATCTTTTAAGGTTATTGGCTGCTCCCCACCCGCCTGCCTGGTAGCCTGGATTTAAAGGGATAGCGCGCTTCGGCGTTTTAAAGAAAATAGCTCATTCGGGGCCGAAGCCCTGGAAACCTCGAACTACACCGCTGGCCTTCACAAGTCCCAGGCTGCAGGTCCCTGGGGTCGGGACGCTGGCCGACTTTCCGCAGCTGCCTTACTTGTTAGGAAAATTTTTGTGACACTATGTTTTTGTATATCCGTCCAGTATTTTTCTGGGCATCTCCTCCATGTCTAGGAAAAAGCCTTTGCGGAAAACTGGAAGATCTTTATGGGCAAGTAGAGGGGGAAGTCTCTTTCAGGGGTTTCATTTCTAGATCTCTTTAAAAATAAAAATAATCTTTAAATTGTATAAAACATAGGTATAGAAGACAGTAAGTTTAACAGTAAAACACAAGTTGGGTTCTGTTCTGTCCAGAAACAGTCATGATAGGACCTAGGCTGGTATAATATGTAGTAGCAAGCATTTTCATACATAAACACATAGAATCACTGAACTGGAATGTCAACGATGACAAAACTGGTGCCCCCCGACAGGATAAATGACTCATTCAGGTTCATAGGGCTTGTTAGTAGAAAAGATTAATTCACATTGAACGGCAAAATAGCTACCTTTGGAGGTGCCTAACTTTTAGAACTTTCGTTATTATAATGAGCAAGAGACTGGATTTAAGGCACCGTCATTTGCCGGAGGGATCTATTATACTTTAGTTCTCTAATTCAGAGACAAATGAGGGGCCACCAGCTCAGCCTGACCCAGCTGGCCTTCCCTGCATTCTCTGACACTGATTACCGACTCCCTCTTGAACTGGCCCTCTCTCTGAGTTTCCTGGAATTCTGCCATCGCTCCAGTGTCTCCAACTCCTCTTTTCCCTACCTCTTTTTTGTATGTCTTCCTTCAACCCGTTTAATGTATACCCTGTCCTGCAGCCTTTCACAGTCCTCTTCATTTTGGATGATCCACCACATGGAGAGTTTCCACCACCCACCCTACAACCGTTTCCCAAAGTATCATCTCCCTCTCCAACTCACATATTTCTTCCCAGTGGCCATCTCACTTTTCCATCACCACCAGGATGTCCATGGCCACCTCAAACCCAAAGAACCACCTTTCCCTAGAAGCCAGGTTCTCTTCTTTTTTTTTGATACTGTTGCCACCTGTTCCCAGGGCCCCAAGCTCTTTTCCTCTGCCTTTGCCTCTTGCCTGCAACTCCCACAGTTGACTTGTATTGTCTATCCCAGCCCCTCTGGCTGCTCACAGTCAATTATTCCTCCTTTTCACTCTGCAGGAGCCTCCTCCCTGGTGTGTCTGTACAGCCTTTCCTCCTCCAAATCATCCTCCACCCAGCTGCTGTGCTTCCGAAAGTATATTTCGGATTGTATCACCCTCCTGCTCAAGTCCCTTTAAATGGCTCTCTGCTGCCTACTGGAAGAAATCCAAACTCAGATCTGATCTTGACCAAACCCAACTTTTCAGCCTTGCCTCCCACAAAAAACCCAACAGAAGATTTCCCAGTTCCCCAGCAGGAATTCTGTTATGTCCCAACAGGACTTCTCCACCCCACACATTTGCTCAAGATGTTCCTGCTGCCTGAAATGTCTCTCCCTTCCCTTGCAACTTGTCAAATTCCTACCCTTCCTACAAGGATTTGCTCAAATGCCACTTCCTCTGGGAAAACCCACCTGGATGTGTGATCTCTCTCCTCAAGACCCTTTAAGGAGAACTTTGGATCATTCTTGTGACATTTATACCATTCTGCCTAGCATCAGAGTTATGTTTACACTTGCCTGAGCCATTGTCCTCTCTCCCCCCCACCCCCCGCTTCTCTGGTTAGAAATTATCTGACAGTTGGGTGTATGCCTTGTCCATTTCTGTAGTCCCTGAATGCCCAGCACTGTCCTGCAAGGTTTCTGTCTCCCCAGAGGTTAGCTACACCCAGGAGCCACGGGAGAAGTAAGTGATGGTATGTCATCTTTGGCTAGTGCTTCTGCCATCTCTCATTTTTTGAGTAATTATAGTGTTTTTCCTGGTGTTCATAGAAATCATTACTAAATTACTTATGATTGCCCTTTTCCAGCAGGCTTCTACCCCAGGGACCAAATCAGGGATAGAGCCACCTCCAGTGTTTACCATTAGGCAATAGTAGGAAATCAAAGTACAGAAAGTCTGCTGCTTCCCATATGCAGTGACTCATATCACATCACACCACACCACCAGTGTGGTCAGGAGCTAGGCTCCCTGGCCCACTTCATAAATAGTACTCCCAGTAGCTAAACTGATGATCTCAAGGAAGTGAGAAAACCCCACCCAATGCCCACCTGAGCACCACATGTAGCACCCAACCAATTGCAGTCAGATGCACAGATAGGTTGATGGACAGATGAATGGCAAAGGAATTTATTTGAGAAGGGCAGTGGAGTCCTAGCCAGAGATATATCATGGCTCCTCCACCCTCCTTTAACTTAAAAATGAAATTTTGGAATTAAATTCAGTAGTGGTTTACCAAATTCCTGGAGCAGTGGTTTTCAGAGAGAGACCCCTAGAGTGCCCCAGGGCAAAATGCACACAACTCTGGAGCTGGGAAACTAACATTAACACATGTAGCAGCTCCCCACATGAGTCGTCTTTGCACTAAAGTTTGAAAACTACCCTTTGGTGACAAGAACTTCACAGGGCCCCAGCACTTAGGAGACCTGCAGAAGGAGAAAATGGCATTGCCTCATCATTATTGCTAGTCATCTCAGCTAATTAAGATAATAATTTGCTATTAGTAGGAAGATTCCAAGACATGGAAATTAAATTAGATCTAAGGAATTTCAAGTCATTTGAAGATGGACACAAAGTTATATTCATTTCCATTCTCTTTTTCATACTGGGATATATTTTTAATACTATAGTCAAAGCCAATTATGTTCCCTGGAATATAATTTGTTTAGAGGAGAATAAAAGCCTAAAACAGCATAGTTAACCGGTGAACCAGGCATTCTCCCTTCCTGTGCAGTGAGAGAGCATCTCACTCTGTATAGCTAAAAAGAGTGAAGAATGAGGGAGAGTAGATGATACTTTATCCGTGAAAAATGTCCAGTAACAGGGGAAAGTGCCAAAAGAGTCAACCTGGTCAGTCATTTCCTTGGAATAGATTCTTGTGCAAAGGAAGAGGTAAGCAGGGAATGATAAACCAGAACTGAAAAATTTAAAACAGTTGCTCCAACTTTGAAGAGGGTTCATTTTAACTTTGTTGAATCCTTGAGAAGCCACTAATAAATAAATATATA